TGTTGTTATTGTTGTTATTGCTATTATTGTTGTTTATAATTTATACAATTAACCTCCCTGTGATTCGACCCCGGTCTTACCAAGTTATTTATTATTTCGATACTCCTGCACTTTGAAAAAAGACATTAATCTTTTAGTCGTGTCAACGCCAAAATAAAAAAGTCCTTTAAAAACTTTACAAGGTAAAACTGAATTAATTCTTGAAATAAAATTTTAATTGAAAACTTAATTGAACAAATTCAAAAGTTCAGATATGAAATTAAAAGGGTGTTAATAACCTAAATGAATCTAAATTTGCTAAAATAAAATCATTTTATTTAAATAAAACAGTACATGTGAACTAAAATAACATGTTTTGGTCCAAAATTACTTTATTTTGATCAATATCAAGTTAAAAAAAAAAAATTAAACAACGCGTTTTATACTATCTATTATTTTGGCCCCTTAAAAGCCGACCAAGAGAGCCCTTTGGAAGAACCTTTTGAAGAACCATTTAATGCACCTTCCACACCATAAGACAGACAGACTTGTTTTGCAGAAAAATGTAAGTCTAATAATCAAGCTCAAATACTCATATCCAAAAGGAGCCTTGAGAAGCCCGACATCCATTTGAAGTTTCAGCCACTTCATCAGCTGGGATGCCTGATTAAATAGATTTGACTATGGTAAACCCAAGAACAATAGTTTTGTCCATATCAAGATAGATTTGAGTGTACTGTCAGTCTGGGGTGTTCTAATCAGATGTGCACATGGGCAAGAAACTCAATAATGATCCTACCTTAGCCCATTGCGCAGCGTATTAATCTTAACAGACATGTCAAATTAAGAATGGCAAGGAATTGTCCTAGCAATGAAAAAAAAAAAAAAAGGAACGGCAAGGAATTGTCCTAACAACACGCATATGCCTAAACAGGGAGGCAGCCAAGTAGTACAAACATGAACTGCATTTCAAATTAAACTTTCTAACACTTTTTAACAATATATACATCATGTACCGAGCATCAACTTAATTAAGTAAGGTTGCTGCTTCAGGAACACATCATTAAGATTCATATTTACACTGTTTAAACTTGAGAATAACTGCTTTGAAAGAACATATAACCAGATCAAATATTTGTCCATATTACAAAAGCCACAAGAACTCATTCTCCTGCAGAAGCACAGGTACTTGAGGGAAATCAACTTAGCTATGAGTGGTTTTCTCAGATCCTACCTCTGTTGACTAGGTGGGTTCACGAGGACGAGCAGCCCATAGAGAACTGAGAGCACGAAGACGGTGAAAGTACTCTCCTAATGCAAGTAAACCACGAGCTGATTGGCGCATTGTTAATATCCGAGACATGTGCTGCAGAGTTCGTTGCCGAAGGTGATCGGCCTGTTTTTAAAAAGAGAAACATGATAAGAATCAAGGGTTAAATTGTTGAGTGCTCATAATTAATACTAACATTCAGCATTCCCAACAGCAATATTTGTTTATTATATATGATTATGGCTTGGTTTTGAATTGTTCAAAATAGTTAAGTGAGCTATGCATGACACGAGGAAGGAATTCATGAAACATGAGTTAATTCAGCTTTCAGAGATATCAAGTGCACATTAACTAACAAGATGTCACTAAGAAATTATTACCTGGGTCACAAATCCCTCGAGAGCTCGTAAATTCTCCATGGCACCAGCCATCTGACCATAACCCCCGACACCCATTACATCAGCCATCTGACCATAACCCCCAGCACCCATTACATCAGCTGGTATGCTTTGGGACATAGCCTCCTGGAGTTTATCAATTCCTTGAGTTAGAGCATCTTCAGCTTGCTGAGATGATTGACAAAGGTTAGTGACATCCACGAGTTGTTGATCAGTCAAAGGCTCAAGTTGTGACTTGAGAACCTGCAGGGGGAGGGGGATTTAGAAGTTTGATGAATAAAATCTAAATAACAATAATGAAATATTAACAAAAAAAAAAAAAAAAAGGGAATAAGATTTTATGTATGTATTCTAAAGATGCCGGGCAAAAAGTGATAAGAGTAGCGGGCTAGAACAATGTAGACAAAGGTATGCAGTCTCTTGAAGAAGCTGATACTGAAGTCCATCACAGCAAAATATATAGACAGTGACTTCTCCATATGCTACTATTAAGACCTACAATCCTATATTTAGGATACATATTGCTATAAAGGTCGCTTTGTATCCTGTGTAAAAAATGAAATGAAAAGTTCATGAATAGAGGCCAACATCATCAGGGATCACCAATACCTAATCAGTCTTCAAGCAATAAATTATATGGAATAAGACTTACATTTAGAAGTTCTGATGGGCGGAATCCTCCGATCCACTGAAAGAAGCGTTCTACCGGCGTTCTCCATTTGCCAGATATCAGATAGAATACATCAGCCTTCGCAGCATCAGCTTTCATACGGAAAAGATTGTTATAGTGGTTCAAGCCATTCTCAACAAGTATTCGGAGCTCAATATCAGTTATATGAGCTTGCAATGCATTCCTAAGTTCAGAAACTTGTTTGAGTTGTTCTTCAACCCAATGTCCATATTCCATCTCAAATGCAGCAATTCCTGTGAAATAATGATCAGAACCATTTAGATCACAACACATATGTAAGAATTAAAGAATAAATGCAATCACCATGATAAAGATGCAAAATAGTTTCAAGGGGTAATTAGGCAATTGAAGGCCAAAGTTCCGAGATTCCTTGAATAGATATTAAATAAATATAAATTGTATGCAGAGGTAAGTGAATGAAACAAATGTGGAAATTGTGGGTGAGACATTTAGTGATTAGTTTATTAGCAGCATGCATCCATCAGTATTTTGCAATAAAAACAAGAAAGAAGAGACAACAGGACCTATAATGCCTTAATAAACACACAGAGCATTTAACAGATAGTTTATAAACAACTTTCCAATCTGCAGTTGGCAATGAAAAATGAAGAGGGGCATCTGGCACCACGTTTTCAGACAAATCTCTAAAAGAGAAACCTTCAAGGAAGATCAGTTTCTGCATAGAAGTCCGTAAGGTATACTCTTCCGTTTACTTCATCATGCTTTTATGTGTCAAGGGTTGCTAAGATTTGCCATGCCGTACAAATATCATCAAGTTAGCACATGGAATCACAAACCTGGATTTACTGTTCCTGAAAATCCTAAATGACTAGAATTTGATGCACTGCCTAAGTAAGCACCCTGCAGTCAGGCATTAACACAGCTGTTAGAAGACACAATTTATTGTTCCAGGAAATCCTAACTAGTATTTTCATCGGAGACCGATAAATAGGGAAATGCATCTAGTTAAACAGTGAAACGTAGTAGATGGAATAGAGTTTTTATCTCACTTGGTGCCTAGCTCTTTCAAGCTCCTGCTCCAACTGGGCCAACTTAATTCGGCTGGATTCTAATTGTTGAACATAAGCCTATGAAACAATGTTGAAATATAAATATTCTGCACTACAATGTTAAAAAACCTTTTATCACCATATACTTGTATAAGAATGTAGTAAACTCTACCTTTTTCCGCAAGCGACTTTTGCGAGCAGCTTCACGATTTTGTGCCAAACGTCTTTGTATCTGCAGTTAGATTTGTGAACATTTCAAGTGCACTGTTAGTCATCTATTCATTGATTTTTCATCTTTACACAAAAGAGAAATGGAACATCCAATCTCATTGAGTGTAATCCAGTTCAATAAGAAAGGATGCTTCTCAAAAGCTCAAACATCCACAAATTCATTATTTTGTGTACTACTAGTCTTCATGTGAGAATAGTAGCAACAACAAATTCCCATTTGTGGATTTTATTTGAAGCAAAATTTTCATCTAGTTTTCCCAAAGGATTCACATGCTGCACATTTGCTCCACACAAAGCTGGTATAATTCATAAGAAATTTAAGAATAATAGCTTATATGTTTTTGATTAATCAAGAGAGAGGAAAGGAGTTTCATAACCTTATCAGCAGGTTTGTGTGCTTCCTGATCGCTTCTGTACGGTTCCATTGATTCATGTGAAACATGTTCACTCTAGAGGAAGTCAATCAGAAAAGTCAGGCCGCCTGGTAAGCATAGTTAGCCCTGACATTCTTTAATTAGAAGGAAAACATCATGCATCATTACCTTGTTGTCTAGCCCAGCATCCACCTGTACAATTGTGGATGGGCCAATGTTTAGGCTACCATCATCTCTGAAAGTGTGTGCCCATGAGCTAATCTGGTTAAAGGGCTCATAAATGCCCATTCCTCTGAGGGCGGCAATTTGAGTTGATGTAGAGCTCATGCTCTAAAAGAATCTAATAAAAAATGGAAAAACAAAGGAAAAAAAAAGACACATTTAGTCAGCTGCAGCATCACATCAATGTAGTAATAAAATTACATGGAACTTGTCATTCCTAAGCAAAACAAGAAATAATATGCAAAGCAAAAACATCAATAGAATGGAAAGGAAAAATGGAAATAAGATGCTGGTCAAAATGATGCTCATCCAAGGACAGAGCTCAAAAGGATATACTGATAACTGATTCCAAATGAATCCTACCCAAATTTCGTGAATTGTTGTGCTATCCAGGAGACAAACATAAAATAGAAAATTTGTAAAGCATTGTCATTCAGACTATGTAGACTTACAAAGCTAAGAGATCAAACACTCACTATGGTTAAACTTTAATGCTCAGACACACGCACTAACTTGGCAACTTTAGCTATTCTTGTTCATTCATGTAGGCAAACACATTGAAAAATTTGCCAAGAATTGGACTCATCAACAATGGCAGCATCAGCAACATGGATAAGGGAGATAAAAATTAGCGGTAAGTAAGGCAACTGCCAGAGGAAGTAGGAACAGGAAAGAGAGTAGACAGACAACTTTTCAAGGGTAACGCAAAATATTGATTCTCCCACAGCACTCCCATGTTAGAGATTCCAACTGGTCTATTGAGCTAAATCAGCAACGGTGCCCTCATGTATTGATTAAAATAACTGAATGATGGAAGCTGCTTCACTTGCTAGTTAACATTTCCTACTGTTTCTTCATTTATATTTATTTCTAGAAACCTCTCTATCATGTGAGGACATTCTACAGATTGACAACGAATAAAAGAGCGCTCTGTGAGGAAATTTCGCTTCACATGCCCACCTCAAATCACAATAAATCTTTTCAAAATGCTTCAAGACTTGTTCCCTTCAAAATCTCGAAATATGGATTATGCACTAATAATAAATATAGCATCAGCAAGATTGAATGAATGGTCTATGATCAGCTATAAATTATGTGGCTATTGTCTCTAGAAACCTATGTGGTTTCATCCAACAGTAACACCAATGAATATTATGGCCTAAATCCATCTCAATTTTTATTTTTATATTTTGGAAGCAAGGCTTCAAGGGATGATTCCTTTTCCACACAAATCCAACCAACAAAACAAACTATGCTAAACAAAATTGAATAAAAACAGAATCGACGGTGAATTGGACTCACTCTTAATCGATTAAGATGTTCTTAGATATGGCATAAAGCAAACATGCTATTTGCTTAAACATAAAGAGACCATCCAAAAGAAAGGACCCTTTCTCTAACCTAAACACACAAACTCAGAAACAACCATTAAACACAGAAAAGCACGCTTTTATCCGCACCAATACTGTGTAACTTCCCTTTCCAATTAATCCGGACACAAGTGTAAATAAAACCAAGATCCAGAAAATACTGATTAAAGTAAGTCATCGGCCTTCACTTACCTCTGTACAGCATGCTTCAATGGATCATTAATTTGCAAAAACGACGCCATAAGTCTCAACTTTCCCAAGTAGCCAAAAAGAAGAGCCCCCCCTTGAAGGGAAAAAAATATACTAATAAATGAACAAAGTTTGCTGTTTCTTCTTCTTCTTTTGGGGGGCCCTGTGTGTATGTAATTCAGCTCTTACTACCAAAATCTCTTAAGCAGTATTCCAGCAAATCCAAGAAACTAAACATAAAAAATTTAACACTGGTTCACTGTCTTTAATACTAGTTGGCATCAGGAATGAACATCACCACCATCCATTCCTTGCAAGTAAACAAGACCCAAAAAAGACACTCTCCAAAGTCCACAAAAGAAAACAGAATAAAAAAAAAAATTAATCTCATAATCATTGAAAGAGACTCTTCCTTTTATTTCCTTTTTTCTTTGGTTTTTGAACGTTACTACAGTCAACCCGTTACCGTCGCCATATTGTAACTTTAACGTACGCACATCTTCTTCTTTTTTCCCTTTAATATTTAAAAATATAATAGCAATTATATTTTAAAATATTGAAATATATTAAAATAATATTTTTTATATTAATACATAAAAAATAAAATAATTAATTTTAATTAAAATATTTTTTTAAAATTTTGCTCAATTTCTATTTGAAATGCAATACCAAATAAGATTTTAATCATTATCTATATAGTTAACATTTATTTGTACATATCTTCATATTTCGTTACGGGTTAAATTATTTTTTTAAATTAAAAAATGATTATGAATTTTTTTTTATCAATATCATTAAATTCAATTAAGTAGTTTGATTTTGAAATATATTAACTCAGTTTTTTGCCTAACTTAAGTTTTGAATTAAATCGTATGAGAGTTAATTCAAAGTGAATTATTTGATTTAATGGTTTAAAAATAACTTGGATAACTAGTAAAAACATGATATAATTTTAAAAAAACTTTAAGATAATATTTTTTTATATTAAAACGATGCTAAATTAGATTGACCTTGGTCATCCTGCGACATGGGTTATGAATTTTAATTGGTTTAATAACTTTGTTATTTTTATAAATTATCTTTTTTAATTTTATGATAATATTAGATATTTTCAAAATTGAGTATAAATTCTAAAAAAATATTTATTTAATATCATGTTAACTCTATAGAAAGTAAAAAAAAAAATTATAATTTTATTTTTCAATCAATTCAATATTGAATAAGAATGAAGGAAAAAAATAACATCAAATTTGATAGGTATACCTACTAAATTCATAAATTGAGTAACTTAGGTTAATACATCAAACCCGCAAACTAGGTAATGAATTCCATTAGGATTAATAATATGTGTTTTTCTTTTAAATTATTATTTATTTAATTATATGATAACAAAAATAAACAATCACAAAATCAAGCGTCAAACTAATATTGAGATTTTATTTTAAGACTATAATAACTTTATATTTTGATAGATCAAATTATATAGTTATTTTATCAAATTTTTCAACTATATATTTTTTTTTTAACATAGATCATATCTTGATATTGAAATATTTTTTTTATATTAATTTAATGTTTTGATAATTTTTTTATATTGTAATAATTACATAAAAATAAATTAAAATAAATTATCCATTCTAAATTTCTATAAACATATTATACAAGAACTAAAAAAAATTAATAAGTAAAGGAAAAAAAAGTCAAAATGCCAGAAAAAAAGTCAAAATGCCAAAAAAAAAAACCAACACTTTTATAATCCACATATTTATGGGTGCGGGGAATTAGTGTTTTCCCCTTCACCAATTGGTTTTATTTATAATTAAAATATATGTTGTGTCATGCTTACAACAAAGTTTGGCTAGGTTGATGTCATTTTGCGGCGAAGAACGTTTGCCGGCTATAAAGCAAGTGACACGTGGGGAGTTATGAATGGTGGTGAGTTGAGTGGCCGGTGAAGATCATTTGGGGACTGTTTTTTGTTTTACTTACTTTTCAAAGATATTTTCATGTGTACTTTCTTCAAAAATATTAAATTAGTTAATTTAAATATTTTTTATATGAAAAGAAATATAAAAATAGTTATGGAATGGGGGAAAGAGGGCAACAAGTTAATTGTATGTTTGTTGTTATGAAATATAATTTTTTTTTAAAGTTTGTTTTACATAAAAATATATAAAAATATTTTTTTAAAATTATATAAATAAAATATAAATTTAATATCTAAAATACATTTTTAAAACAAAAGTTATTAGACTCTCCGACCATGATGCAAGGAGGAGTGTGGCAGTTATCGGACCAAAAATTCCAACATGCCTGTCACGTGTCTGATATTTTATGGATACAGTGTTGCTTTTCGATCCTTTGGCTACGGTATTCAAGCGTACCTTTTTCCCTTCTTTTTTAATTAGTCCGTGCTGGAAGGATTAGCGAAATTACAGTACTGGTAGGCCTAAGAGATTTGATGTTTCTCGTTATAACTAGTCTAAAGATATAAAGGTAAAGAAAAATAAGAAAGAGGAAATTAAAAAAAAAATATTTTTTATTTTAAAAGAGATATTTTTTATTATTTTTTTAGTAGGATTAGATACGATTCTCTCGGAGCATTATAAAACTTTATTTCTAGTTTCTCACATCACTTTCTGAAAAAAAAAAAAAATTCCTTGTTAATGCACGGTCTAAACAAAATTATTGTGTAAAGTAGATCTACTTCAACCAAAAAATTAGACAAAGCATAGTGCTTTCGTCGAAAAAGAAAGAGATGATAAATTACGAACTATCATGGATAGTTTATTTTATTACCCAACAGGTTATTCTTTAATCCTCATCTTAGATTCTATTTATTTTTATATTTTAAAATTATTTAAAAAGAATTAATTATTATTATTATTTATTTTAAATTATTTTTATATTTTTAAATCATTTTGATATACTAATGTTAAAAATAATTTTTAAAAAAAAATATTATTTTTAATATATTTTCAAGTAAAAAATACTTTAAAAAACAACTAACACTACACTTCTAAACATTTTTTTACACATAAAATTCTGAATTAAATCTTCAACCTATCTTTCATAATTAAATCCTTAATGTATCCAAAATGCTCAATTAGATCCTCCCAACAAAGTGCTTTAATGTTTTTCATGCACAATTCATACTAGATTATCAATCCAAGCTAAGTTGGTTTAAATTTATTTTTAAATGTAAAAAAAATTTATATATTATTAATTTATTTTATGATATATTTTTTAAAATTATATAAAGATTGATTCAATATAATCTAGTTAATTTGATAAATTTAAAAATAACTTGGATAATCGATAAAAATATAATTTAATTATAAAAATTTTAGATAATATTCTTTAAAAAAATATTAAAAAAATAATATATTAAATTAATTAAAATCAACTCAAATTAAGCTTGATTTGCTGGGGGAGGAGAGACAACGTCACTTTATAAAAGAGCTTAGCTAATCACTTGTTTCAAAACGTGTACATATATTTTAGCTGAAAGGACTTGATATTTCTAAAACCTAACCTAGAAAGAAATATATCCCTGACTGCAAAACTGGCTCGAAAGGACGCATGACATCAAAGAGAAAGGCGTTGGTGGTGGTTGTAGAATGAACTGCCATTTGGTATTTTGAATTATTTTCCCCTCTCTTGCGCAATAACAAAATGATGGCAGAACTGCTTGCAATGCCACTTCAGCTGCAGCAACCTCTCGTAACTCGACAATTAATGGACCCATTTCTAGTTGTTGGTTTCGCTTTCTCTCCCACCAATTGAATTGCCCCATTTGGCTAATTCATTCAAAAAGAACATCGCAGCTATAATTGCAGCCTTTGACATTTGGTGAATGTAAGAGCAATGGCCACAGTAGCACAGTACAAATAGTGTACAAAATTTTTTCTCGAAAATCATGCGTCCACCTCCAAAACTTTTGCAGCCCCAGTGCCCCTTCCTGGCCGAGAGAGACAGGCAGGAGCTGGCGCAACATATTCCTTCTCGTCGTAGAGGAGCAAATGATTGAAATTAGGGACCTTTTTCCCCCCAAAGCCAGAAAGGGTAAGGGAAAGGGTCCTGCTTAATTTGGATCATGTAATTGGTCTTCCAGACGACCTTTCATCCAAATCAATTTACTTCGCCTTTTGTACAACAGGTCACTCGATCGGGGCTAACTTGGGCTGCAAGGAAGGAGGCCTAGGGTTTTGACGCGAGTATATATACATATTACAAAGGTATTATGCAGACAAGCAACAATTTACATGGATTGATCTCCAAAAGAGCTGGCTAAAGTAACAAGTTGCCTTATCAGTTGTACGGTAAATGGCCAACTTGAATAAAGAAGAGCAAGCTCCGTCAGCTTAGCATTAATGGATGTAAACAAGAGGAAGACAACAAAACGAACAAGGAAAAGGAAAATTTATTTGGCAAGTGGGTTAGCATAACATATTCATCAATATGATTAGTAGTAGTTAATTGTCAGGCTGCATGATCACTACTAGATGCTCACTAATTAAGTAAAAATCTAGAAGGTGTGAAGTGTTTACTTTTAAGCCGATATTGTCGACGTGCTCACAAAACACTATGGACATATTATATATTTTTTAATAATTTATTTTGATTTTCAAAATTTTATCTTGTGTGTTTTAATCAAAAGCTAATTGTGTTTGAATTTTTAGTTAACGATGAAGTTGAAAGGGAGACCCAAATGAAAAAAAAACATCAAACATTGTGGTGCACTGAAAATTCCATGAAAAATGCACTTAGATCCACAATCTTTAAAAATAACGCAATATATACAATTTAAATCCTCTTAAACTTTTTAAAAATCAATTTTGATACAGAAGTTTATTTATGTTATTTTTCTATCTCTAGTTAGAGAAAGAAAAGAAGAGAGGTTACTAGATTCCAACAATGAGAGAGAACGTCATCATTTACTTTATTAATTTTTTTGCCATTAAAATGAGTTTTTTTTGGTGTTCACGAATTTTATGAGATGAGAGGGGCTTCATGGTAATTTTTTAGAGCCTTGATGTTGCATGAAAAACTAGATCTAATATGAGAAACTAAAAACCAAATCAATTTGATTTTAAGTTTTTGGACCATTTTTTGGATATTGGAAGTTGATGAAATGGTTTTTTAGTATTATAAGGATGTTGGTGAGATGTTTTTAGATTGAAATAACTTGAAAATTGATTTTTTTAGTCAGAAGACTAGCTACTCGATTTTCCAACCACTGTTATGGTGGCTGGAATCTAACCTTGCAGACGACACATCATTTGTCTAGGCAGACAATATGTCACAAGTTTTTTGTTTTTTCAAAAAAATAGAGGCGCTGCTTTTTAGCCTTCTTTTTTTTTCTTTATAAGGCTAAAAATAAA